CTAAAGATAATTCTTTTGAATTCCTTATCAGAGAGTTCCAATGCTGCTTCTTCCTCAGGGATGTGTTCTGGGTCTGTATCCTGCTCCCTTGTTTCTCTCACTTTATCCTGCTTTTTTGTGTGGACTGTGATGATCTGTTGTCTCTGAGGCATCGTGGCGTTGTTGTATTTAGATCTCTGTTAACTGTTTGTGAAGAGCAGTCAAGGGTGATTCAGGCTGTTCTTGGTGGTTTTTTACCATTGGCCTGTTGGTGGAGAAGGAGGTAGTGGCTCTCGCTCAATAAGTGAAGTTGCAGGAGGTGTGGGTGTAGTTGTGTCTTATGGGAACTGTTGTTGTCTCCCACTCAATTAGACACAAATTACAATTGAATATCCTTCAAAAAACTTTTCAGTCTTGCAGGTCCGGAGGGTCCTTGGGGTTGCTGGATAGCAGAACGTGTTCTTAAGCCCTAGGAATCTACGAGAGTGCTGTCTCTTTAAATATCCAAAATAACTGCTTTTAGACCTTCAAAATGGTGGCACCCTCCAGACCGGCAAATGTCCACAGCTCAGCCCGCCTTTCTCTTCACCTTCTCCGTGTGTCCCCCAGCCACCGTGCACAGTCCTCCGTGCAGTCCCTGGATAGCAGGGTGATTTTTAGGTTAATTCTTAGGTCCTACCACAACTTGGGAATTTCCAAGCTGTCTGTGCCGGCAGGATCGCTCAGGATTGCTGCCAGACCGCAGCTCCGTATGTCTCCTTTTTTGGTATTTTCACGCAAATTCTTCTGCTAGTTGGGGTTTAGTCCACTTCTATATCCTTCCCTTCAAGGCTCAGGAGTCCAGGTTTATCTTCTGTGTCTGTGTTAATTGGTTTCCCTTTTCTTTGTTGAAGAGCGTCTGTGCAGTCCTTCTGCCTAGTCCGCCATCTTGCCTGAACTTCCCGTTATGCCATTTTTCAGTTTCGGAAATCTTTATTACACTGACAACCCGAGGGCTGTGAAGCACAGCATCGAGGACTAGTGTGAGAGTTAGCAAACACTAGGTGAGGTAACTGCAGGACCATCATGGGGGGATTGGGAACTTCTCCAGAATAATTCAGTAAGTTTTAAAATCTTTTGGAAAGGTTGCTCTTAGAGGACACAGTGAGAGGCAGAATGTAAAAAGCAAGAGCCTTGAACTTGGAGTTAGACAAAAACACAGGCCATGTAATGGGAACTCGGCCTACCAAACCAACTGCAACGTACCTCTTTTCTTCCAGAGTTCGCCCTTAAACAATTGCTGTGAATCCCGTTTCTTCCTTTCTCTCCTGTATAGTCAACTTCTTTCTGAATCCTTCCCAATAGTATTCAAACCTTTTTGAGCTTCTCCCATTTTAGCAAAATCTACTGCAACCCCACTCCCCTCTCCCTGATCCCTCCGGTCACTGCCCTGTCCTTTGCCTCCCCTCCACACTTGTTCAAAGAGTTGTATGAGACATTCCATTTTTCACTGATGCTGTGGTTGCTGCTATTGTCCATACGCTAATACACTCAAATTGTGTATCTCCAAACTTGTACATTTCAACATGCATTTGATAACGTCTTTGTAAGTTCTTCAAACTCATTATGTCTCAAATCAAAAGCCAACTTCACAGTGTTTTCCAGTAGCCCCCATCTTACCGAGTATTCTCCTTGAATGAGCAAGAAATATAGGAGCTGTGCTTGAATCCATCTCCCCTGTCCCCCAGCCTCCCCAGAAATTGCTGAGACTTGTCATTTTACCTCCTAAGTATCTGTCAAGTCTGTCCACTTATCACCTCAAAGCTACCATTTGGTCTGCATCTACTCTGTTTGTTCTCTACCCAGAGTGAATCTTTCATAGTACAAATCTGATCATATATCCTGCTTAAAATTGCCTACCTTGTTTTGTTCTAGGGATAAATGCCAAAATCCTTATGTTGGCCTGGAAGGCTTTGCATGGATTGGCTGGCCTCTGGGTACCACTGCAGACTCATCTCATGCTTCCCACCCCCATGTTTTTGCCTACTTTCTTGGTTCCTCTGCCTTGTGTTTGCCTTAGTGGTGGGGCCTTTGTAATTACTCTTCTCTGTCTGGAACGTGCTTTTGGATGACACTCCTGCTCTCCTAAGTGCATCACTACTCATCTTTGAAGGCTCACAGTGGAAACTTTCTCCAAGTGCACTTGCCATGTGTTCTT